GTGTTGAATTACATTAATTGATTTGCATATTTTGAGTCAACTTTACATCCTTGGAATGAATCGCATTTGGTCATAAGGTATGAGTTTTTTGATTAGTTGTTGAAGTCAGTTGGTCAGAATTTTATTGAGAAGATTTGCACCAATGTTCATTAAAGAAATGAGTCTATAGTTTTCTTTGATGAGTCCATGTCTGGTTTTGGGATGAGGGTTATGCTGGCTTCATAGAATGAGTTTGGTAGTGAACTTTCCTTTTCAATTTCATTGAAGAGTTTGAGGAGTATTGTCGTGAGTTTTCTGTTGAAGGCCTTAAAGAATTTGGTTGTGAATCCATTTGGTCCTGGGCTTTTGTTCGATGGAAGGTCTCTTATTGACATTGCTACTTCATTACTTGATATGGGCCTATTTAGTTGGTTTAAATCTTCTTGGTTTAGTTTGGGTATATCAATATTTAGTGTAAATTATTCCATTTCTTCCAGCTTCTCAAATTTGTTAATATAAAGGTTTACAAAGTATTGTTGCTTGTCTCTTTCAGGATGTTTGCCTTCTCATGTCTGATTTTATTTGAGTGTGGTCTCTTCTTTTTTTGGTAAGATTTGCTAAGGGTCTGTCAATTTTATTAATATTTTTCAAAGAACCAACTCTTTGATTCGTTATTTTCTTATGTTTTTAGACTCTCATTCAATTAATTCTGATTTAATTTTAATTATCTGTTTTTATCTACTGGGTTAGGGTTTGGCTTGTTGCTCTTTTTTAAAGAGCATAAGGCGCATCCTCAAATTGTTGCTTTGAGATTTGTCTAATTTGTTGATGTAGCCACTTAGAGCTATAAGTTTTCCGAGTACAGACTTTTCTGTGTCCCAGAGAAGCTGATATTTTCTGTGTTCATTTTTTATTAAATATCATATGTGTTTCAATTTCCATTCTGGTATATTCAATGACCCACTGATGATTCATCAATGTGTTTTCCAGTCTCCATGTGTTAAAAGGATTTTGTATGGTGGCTTTTGGTGTTGAGATCTAAATTTATTCCAATGTGGTCAGAGAGAATACAGGGGATAATTTCAATATTTCTGAATGTGCAGATATTTGCTTTGTGCCATAAAATGTGATCTGTTTTGGGGGAATGAGCTATGTGCTTTCAAGAAGAACATATATTCTGATGTTGTGAATGAAATGCAATTGTTGTTCTGAATTTTCTCTGTTGAGTTTTTGCCATATCAATCTATTGAGAGGTGGCAGTGCTGTGTTAAAGTCACCAACTATCAATGTGTTCAGAACTATGATGTTTTTAGTGTAGGTAGTATTTGTTTGATGAAGTTCAGTAATCCAGCATTTGGTGCATAGATATTTAGGTTTGTTATATCCTCTTATAGGAGAGATCCCTTTATTACTATGTAATTATTTTAATTTGAAGTCTATTTAAATCTGATATTAATTTTGCAACTCCATCCTGTTTATGGAGTCCATTTACTTGATAGATTTATTCCAGCCTTTCATTTTCAGAGTGTATTTGTTTTGTGGGCGAGATGTGTCTCTTGAAAACAGCAGATAAATGGCTCTTGCTTTTTGATCCAACTAGTTAATCTATGTCATTTAATTGGAGCATTAAGAGCATTAATATTGAGAATGAGGATTAAGAAGTGTTGGGTAGTTCTTGGCATATTATGCACCTTCTTAGGAACTGTGCTGCATTAAGCTTTACTATAATTTTCTGGTTCTTTGTTTAGAGGCTGTTTCTCTGCTAATATCATGTTCTTGTTGGTTTTCTATGTGCAGAATGTCTTTGAGTATTTTTTGTAATGCTGGTTTGGTGGAGATACATTCTTTCAATTTTTCCTTGCTTTGGAAGGTTTTTATTTGTCCCTTGGTTATGAGTGATAGCTTAGCTGGGTACACTATTCTCGGATGGTAGTTGTTTATATTTAAGATCTGGCATACCACATTCCAGGCTCTCCATGCTTTCATGGTCTCTGCTGAGAAATGTATAGTTATTTGGTTTGGTTTTCCTTTATAGGTGATTGATTTCTTCTCTCTGACAGCTTATGGATCCTTTCTTTGGTCTCTATTGATCCTGTCTGGATTACAATGTGACGGCAGGATGCCCTTTTCTGGTCTGGTCTGTTTGGAGTTCTAAAGGATTCTTTATCTGTATGGGTATATCTTTTTGAATGTTTGGGGAGTTCCCTGCTTGGATTCTATTAAATATATTTTCTATTCTTTCAGGTTCAATTCTCTGACCCTCCTCAATATCAATTAGCCTTAAATTAGGTCTCCTGATGGTGTGTCTTGTAGCTCCTGTAAGGATATATGTTGTTTCTTGGCTTTGTTTTGAATAAATGCCTCTTCTTTCTCTGTAAGTCTATACTATCTTCAATTCCAGAGATTCTATCTTCTGTTTCATGTAATTAGCTGTCAAGACTTTCTACTTTGTTTCTTATTTTTCTTCTAATTGGTTATTTTTTATGGCTTCTATTTCTTTATTGAAGCTTTGTTTTAGATCTTGTATGGACTTCCTTTATTTGGTTGTCAGTGTTCTCTCTCAAACCCTTTAGCTGAGTGGCCACATTTTCATTGTCCTCCCTTTCCTTCTATTGGAATTCATTCAGCCTTCTATTGTGGATTCCATGAATTCCTCTATTAACCTCATCACTTTCATTCATAGTCATGTGCAGCCATATTCATTATATTTACCAGCAGCGCTTTTTAAAGTATTTTGAGAGCTATCCTCTGGGTCTTTCACGGACTGTTTTTCAATGGGAGTTGAGTTACATTGACTTGTCCTATTTCTTCTGTGTCTATGTGTTGTTCTGCCCATTTGGAAATAAAAGCCAACCCAATATGACAAGAGAAAATGATTTTAAGACAAGAATCAGCCCAACACTTTCTAGTTGTACATACATTAGAAGTTTGATATCATAGATGGGTATTCCCTAAATAAGTGGAACCAAATATGCTCTAAGTCAGATGCACACAATTAGAAATCAATGGACTAAAGAAAATGGAGGAGAGAAGGACCAAGAATGAAGGGAAATAGGCAAAAGTAAAATGAAAAGAAATATTAAGGGATATAATGAAAAATAGAGGGAGATGCTGATGAAAGTAGATGAGTATCTAGAGGGAAAGGAACAGAACAAAGGGAACTAAGACCTAAATTCAGAGGAAAAGAGAAAAATAAAATAAATGAACAAAAATAAAAATAAAAAATATGAGGAAAAAGTAATGCTAAAATTAAAAAAATACTTGATAGAGAAATAGAAAAACCGAGTAATCAAAAATACAACCAGAATTAATTATACACGTAAATAGGGGAAAAAAGCCTAGCAACCACCGTACTGTATATCTAGAACTAAACACAATAGCAATGAAGATGTAAGAAGGAAAAAAATTAAGAGATTTCCAGTTTGTTTGCGAGAGTTTGTGTCTCGTTAGTGTTCTCTATTCAGTCTCTTAGTCATGATTGCCTTCCCATGGTTAGTTTTCCTTGTGGCTTGGTTGGATTCAGTTATCCTCTTGATATTGGAGTGAACCTGTTACCTAGATTTCCATTGTCAGATCCTAACTTATAACTCAAGGGGAACAAATGGATGGTCAAATCAGATTATTTCAAGGGGCAGAAAATGTTCTGCTTTGCAGGTTTGGAGACATTGTGCCTCTCCTCCCAGCCTAACTTAGCGGGAATGGGAGTTGGAGGGAGATTTGCAGGGAGTGGGGATATGTAGTTTGCTGGCACAGGAAGGGGAGCTATATCCTGGAATCTTTTCTTGGGTAGCCAGAGAAGGTGCAGGTAAAGAGTTTGGGTCTTTGCCCTCTTCAGATATGATCCCTCTCTTTCAGGGAGGGCATCTGGTCAGGGAACTTTGGGTCACCACTGAGAGCTGGTTCCCCAAGGGAGGGATCTCCGATGGGTGACGCACAGGCTCTGGAGCTGGTGTTGGCAGCTGGCCAGCTGAGACCTGTTGGGGGGTCTCTATGTCTAGCCTGGCATTCTCAAAGTCTTCTTCTTGGCTGCTAGAGGGAGCAGCACTATGGGGAGTTTGCCTATGGTGGTGTCACCAACTTTCACGAAGTCCTTCACTTTTTTTTAATTTTTTTTTGCTTGCTGTTGAAAGCATTGTTAAATAGAAAAAAAGTGTAAAAAAGAAAAAAATTAAATACACAGACTATCAATCTCACCTGCTGATTAACTTTCAGTCATTTATTACTTCTTGTAGATTTGATGAAAATGTGTTTATAACATTACAGGTATTTTATCATTAGAACATAGTTTTTACCCATGAAAATATTTTAAAATGATTGCAATCAGTTTCAATACTGTCATATGTTGGGCTAATTCAACCATTGTTAGAAAATCAGATGGTATCATTTTTTTTCCTGCTCTTTTCTTTTTTTAAAAATTTTTTTATTTAATTTTTTTATTGTGAAAATACTGCACAGAGGGGTTACAATTACATGGGCAAGATAATGAGTATATTTCTTATCAAGCATTGTAGCCTCCTCCTTTGTTTCCCCTTCCCATCCCTTCCCATCCTCCCCCAGTCCCCCCACCCATCTTCCCCGCCCCACCCCACCAAAGTTGTAAAGTTCGTTTTCGACATAATGACTTGTACATCTCATTGTTGCAATGGGTCCACCTGTATCCCTATTTAAATGACTTGTTTGTTAAAATTTATCACCGTCACAAGTTACTCTGTTAAGATAAATTCCTAGAAGTAGTGTTACAGGATGAAAGTAAATGATATTCTTTGTTATGCACCATCAAACTGTTTCCCCCAAAATTTGGCTACAGTTTTCACTTTCACCATCAGAGGTTAAGAGTGACTAGACATACTTACACAGAATTGCATAGCAGCATTTTGACATGAGTGTTACAATGTTAACTTGACTTTCTTATTCATTATGTATTGCTTATTCTGCTGTTACTGAAAGACAGACCTATTCAGAAGCACTCCTGACTTTTTACATTTGAGATGCTCATTCATGAATACCTGTGTTCTCTCTAGCCTTCATACACAGAATTTGATATCAGTGGCAACGTCCTTGCTTTGATCTTCAATCAAGGCATGATATGGTAGGCCAGTTGTTGAGCAGTTTATCCTTATAAAAAAAAAAGTCTCCAAGGTCATTTTTGCAGAAAGTCCTGTAGGGTGGGGTCACAGGAGAACACTCTGTGGATTCTAATTTTATTTTTTGCAAGGTACATGGGTCTAAATAGTTTTTTTTGCATATTCTAAGTCATTGTCTTCAAATTCATCTTCCTGTTTTCCAAAACCTACCTCATCAAATCATGGGCATGTGTATGTTGCTTGGTAAATTTATTTGTATAAATGTCTTTTTATATTCTGTGACACCAAGATCTAATATGTAAACAGCAATGATTACCTGTGAAATATATATATAAAGTCTTTTTGAGCAACAGGTTTTATTTTTTATCACTACCAAACATATTTAAAATACATTTTATAGCTATTTAAAAATGATCTTCAATAGTCTATAGAGACAAAACCTGTTTTTAGATGTTCAAATTTAAAGTAGGATCTGTAGTTTGTAACTTGCTTTACAGTGTCCTTTTTATATTAGAATTGTTTCTTTTGATAGGAAATGGAAGCATCTCCACTGTAAACCATGAAAAGTTATGATAAGTTAATATAGTAGAAACCGTTTTTGCGTTTAAAAACAGAATCACAGCATGCAATTCATCTGGGGACCATGTGTCTTAGAAATCTGTCACTCTGAACTAAAAGCATCCTAACCCACAAGCAGTCAGTTGAGACGTGTCCAATACAGTATTGTGCTACCAATCACACCACTGTCACCTTGTCCTACTACAGTGCCAGGTGAGCCTCAGGTATTCAACAAGCTTTTTACATCTCTGAAATCCCTTAACCATGACCAGACTGAGTATTTTTGAACCTTTATATTCTGACAGAGACTGAGCCCTTTGGAAATATTAAAACCATCTTATTTCACTCACATTGAGACCACCCTCACAGGTACAGCATCGTACCAGTGGGAGTTCTCAAATTCCTCTGTCTTACTAGATGAATCAACATGGAGAAAACACTATAAACAGACCATTTTCTCTGTCCGATGTGTTTAAAAATGCAATGTCTGTCCCCATCCTTGCAAATATGGCTCAAATGTCTAAAGAGACACGAAGGGCTGGATTATGTGCTTCATTCTCCAAGAAGGGAGGAAAGTCAAGATGGCTCAAGGAGAGATGACTGATGCCCTGGATTCTGGTCTTTCACTTCCTGGAGGGAAATCTGGTGTCATAGCAGAAAATGGCTTACATCTCTCTCGGAGTAACGAGGAAACCTCTGCCTTAGATCTGTGCCTTTCACACAAATGTCATTAAGTTCTCAGTCCTAGTGGGTGCCACTAGCACAAACATATGCTGTTCGTCTATTGTGTTCTTTCAGAGTTAAGACAACAGATTGTCTTAGAAATCATTTTTTATTGTCCAAAAAACTGATATAACTGCTGTCCTGATGGGTGTCGTGTGCCATTTTGCAATTATTTAATCCGCTATTGTTCACACTGAAATTCTGAAACATCTAAACATCTCTCCCAGATGCACCACAAAGTGTCTGCAATCTACTTCCTTTATGCTTTCTGTATATTCATTCTTCTTTCATTGGCCAAGCTTGTTTCTGATTAGGTTGAGTAGGGCGTTAGGGAGTGATTGTGTTATATGAATATACATAGATACTTACATGCTTTCCAGAGTTCCAGAAGGAGATAACCATTAATCACCATGAGGTCAAGTGCTTTTCATAAATACTCTTCTAGCCGCCAGGGGGTTGGTGTGGGAGTGGGGATGTTATGCAGAAGGAAGATTTGTATGAGGGAGGTATAAGAAAAGATTAGTAGTCTCACTCTGCAAATAGGTCTCCAGAGATGCTGATGATACCAGTATTTCCTGGGCTGTAAGGATCTGATCCCTGAGTTAGCCATTTCGGAGAGAAACAATAAAAATTATGGCGCTTTACCATCTAATTCCATTAGATTGTGACTAGAGACATTCATATTCTAGTTTAAGAACTGCTGAAACATGGAAGTTATTTTTGTAGATGTTATTGACAAAACACACTATAATAAATGATTAATAAACCTGCATTTACACATTTCTTTTTAAAACAATTATACACATGTATACACAAACACATATACACACAAACACATATATTATATATATATATATATATATATATATATATATATTAGGTGTGCACATGGGGCTTGAACTCAGGGCCTCGTGGACTTGCTTGGCATTTTAACTTAAGGCTGGTGCTCTACAATTCAAACCATATCTCTACTGCTGGCCTTAATTGGGATAAAAGGCAACAGTTGGCTTTGAACCTTGATCATTATATCTTAGCATCCTGAGAAGGTAGGATTACAGGTGTGAACCACCAACACAGTGATGGGATTGAGGAGAAGAGTTCTGAACATTGTTCCAAAAATGTTCCATTGAATATTCTGTGTTAGGAGATTTCTTTATTCATTTTCTTACTTGATCCAGAGATGTGAATTATTTACCTACATCCACATGGTCTTGGAGTAATAGGAAGGCTAAATAAAGGAAGAGTTGTGGGTTTTTTTTTTTTGTTTTGATTTTCATGGAAAGTCATTGCATAAGGTTAAGGAAGAATTTCATAGGGCTAAATTATCACAATAATTTTTTAACTCAGGTGATAGGATCAAATCTGGGTGAGAGATTTAGTGAGCTCACCTGGCTAGTGAACTGTGAATGATAAACCAATCTTCAAGATTCGGACATTAATATACCAGAACCTATTTTTCTAGGTTATTGCTTTTTAGTCATTTGATTTTAATGACAATGTGATATTTATTTTAAAATTCATTACCAATATATGCACATAATATGTGTACAAATATTTGCTTATAGACAAGGCCCATTTGTGTTCAGGTCTGAAGACAAGTGGTTTTAGGAATGTCTAGATTTGGATGACACGCAAAATTTTGTCTCAGATTCAATCAGGTTGCACAGAAATGAAACTCAGCCTTCAGCTCTTAGTGTCTTACGGAAAGAACATGTCCAGTGCAGGTTGGAAGACAGCTCACCTTTGCATTAAAGACATAAACGTATGAACTGGGATTTGTCTACAACCTTGTTGGTCACAATAGAAGAGGGAGAAAAGAACAGAACCCACTCATGGCTTACAAAGTTTCCATCAAAGAGTAAAGAGCTAGCTCCTGTTCCTTTATTGGCCCAAGCAAGCCGCAAAGCCCATGTGAGCTTGGTCATCTTCGTGTATTATCTCTCAGGAATTAGAATTTGGGACAGAAATTAGGACTTTGCAATTCTGCGCCACCAGCTGGCACTCTCACCACTTTATCCTTTGTTTGAGTTCCAAGTCCCGTCTTAGTGTTTCATAGCAAGAGTAAATGGGGTTGTCAGTAGTTGTTTGAAACTCTACCTTTCTGTTAAAAATAACTTTTAATAACATTTTGGTCAATTCAGTATATTAAATATCATTAAAGATCTGTTCTCTAACTCTTACTGACAAAATAGTCCAAATTGCGGCGAGATTTTATTATTTTTTTAATTGCTGAGATACTCAGCAATTAATTGCTAGCTACTCAGGAGGCTGAGGTCTGAGGATCATGGTTTGAGACCAGTCTAGGCAGGAATGTACTTGAGGATCGTATCTCCAATTAACTACCAAAGAGCCAGAAGGGAGGCTTTGGCTCAAGTGTTAGAGCACTAGCTTTGAGAAGAAAAGCAAACAAACAAAAATAGAGCCCCCTGAGTTCAATCCCCAGCACAGGCATGCACATATACACAATTGCGTGTGTGCACTACACCCCTCCCCCCACATGCACACAAATTATCTTTAGTTGGACGAAGTGGCTTCAATTCAACATAACAATTTGTGAGTATAATGCATCATGATCAGTGTCATGTCTGCCAGCATCCTCCCAAGTTTTTAAAGAAATGAGTTAACTTTGGGTTGGCCTGACTCATTAATAGCAGGAGCTAATTTCCACATCCAAATAAAAACTACTTCTGTATATACCAAATTTAAACTGAATACTGACTTGTTCAGTATGTATAAAATGTTAAACCTAACCAAAAATGCTGAAGGCTTTCTTACAGATAGGACAGTTGAAAAGTGAGGGCTTAGTCTACTTATAAAATAATACACATGTATCTTGTTTTCGGTTTTGCACTAATCAATTGCAATCATATTGCATTATGGAATTAATAGATTTTTCCAATCTAAGAAAATGGAAATTTATTTTATTGATATAATCAACTAACTTAGCAAGTAAAAGTGACCTTGCTTAAGTAATTTCTGTTTAAAAATGGCATTTAATAATAGTTTTTAAAAGCAGATATACAACCTTGGCACTGGTGCTTACACCTATAATCCTAGCAACTCAGAAGGCTGAGATTTTGGAGGGATGATGAGTAGGCCGATAAATCCGCAATAACTAGTAAATTGTATGCATAAACTGACATGTTGAATTGTACAACTACTGAACGATAATAAGAGAATTTTTTAACAACAGAATGAAGACCTCACTTAAAAATTAGCAGGTAAGAGGTTTAAGTAGTCAAGCACCAGCCATAGGCAAACCTAGTGAGGAACTGGCAAAAACACTTTTAAAAAATTAGATGCACAAAGCAGTGGATTTCCAGGACAAGTCATATAAGAAAGTAGGAAGATAATCTACATGCAAGTGGATGCATAGAATCTGATCTTGAAAACACACAAAGCTAACTATGAATTATCAAGAAAATATCATTTATTTATAATACATATATCCATACAAATGTATCTTTCCACTCAACTCTAAAATGCTATAGTTGGTTTAATGAGAAAAAGACTGGTATCAGAAAAACAAAAATGCATTTAAATGTTTTCTTATTCAACAAGCCAAAATTATTTACCCATGACAAAAACGATTGATCTAAATGTGCAGTTTATTTGAATAAAATGAATGACGTTCAGGGTCATTTTTTAGATATGTTAATGACATGAGTATTAGGGGAAATTAGGTTCATTTTAGGAAAGGCATGAAGGAAAGCAAACAATTGTAACATACTGTTTACTTTTATATTCTTATGTTTGCTAATGAAACGTGGAATCAGTTCAGAGCATAATTTCTATTAAAGAATGGTGCTTATATTACCTATCATAAAGTGGGAAATATGTGTAGAAGATGGAAATTGACTGGTTAGATTTACTTATCAGTAAGTTCGTGTGGTTCAATTCGGAAATACAGCTTCTCCCTTTGTAACAAGGCAGCATGAAATGAACAGATGCTTTCTGTCTTTGGTATGCGGTGAGACTGAACACTAAACAAATCTCTGTTTTCTTTCTAGGATGGGTTCCTTCTTCGCTCCTAGCCTCCCCGGCATCAATATCCTCCGGCTCCACACGTCCATGTACTTCCAGTGTTGGGCAGTGATGTGTTGCAACGTTCCTGAAGCCAGGGTCTTCAAAGCGTCCAGATCAAATAATTTCTACCTGGGCATGTTGCTGCTCATCCTCTTCCTGTCCACCATGCCCGTCCTCTACATGATCGTGTCTCTCCCGCCATCTTTTGATTGTGGTCCTTTCAGGTCTCTTGTCTTTAATTTCTTTGTTCTCTGAGCCATTGTGCTCATTTGAAGGAGAAAGTGGGGATGGCCACCTATCCCACACAGCAGACTAGTTTCTTTTCCTTTTTAAACAATGACATTTTTGATTGGTAGAAATGAGACTGAGTAGTCAAGATTATGCAATGAGAGGCATAGGAAGAGTCTTCGGGAGTTTCCATCCATTTTCTCGTGTATAATAAAAGGGGGAATGGTTTATGCTGTTCTAGGCACTGCCTGAGTGAAACACAGTTGGTGAGTCCGAGTTGTTTCCATAGTAAGGGATAGTGATGCTTCTGATGCTTATCATCATATCCACCGGTAGCCAGCTATTCTTTAATGTATCTCAGCAGGGGTCAGGCATCACCTTTAAAACAGAGATTGTTCAAACAAAGGAAGGAGAAACATTATTAACCACTACTAAGTATAAAGAGGATCATACTATTTGTGATCCCAAATGTTTTATGTTAGTAAATACTTACTATGCTCCTCAGTTTTTCTCCCCAATATGAATGAAGTCAGCAATGAAGGGTCAAGAAGGCTCCTTGATCCATGTTAAAGTTTACCTTTCAGAAAGCAGAGTCCCTGGGGTTTGCAGAGTAGGACTGCTTTTCCCAGAGAACCTTAAAAGTGGATCGACCACAAGTCTGCCTGAGAATGCATATGGAATTACCAGCCAGCATTCACACAGCTTGAAGGGAATGAGACTGTGAAGTCCATGTGAATAATAAACATGATGCTGGGGCCACATTGTGTTTACCCCTCCTCCTGTCAGGCCCCAGTGGTCGAATTAAAAGTCAAAGGTTCATTGGCCACATACTTGACATTAAAGGCATTTTGTGCTCTAATGATAGCGTAAGTTACTACTTTCCTGGTAAAAGAAAGAAAATGTGTAGCCAGAAGATAGCTGGATTTCTGTCAGGATCAGGAAATCATGTGTGTGTGTGTGTGTGTGTGTGTGTGTGTGTGTGTGTGTGTTTTCAAATGGACTGAGATCAATCATGCAGACAGTGACATCTGGAGACTAAAGGTGAAATTACAGTCTTGAAGGAGACATTTTGATAAATCTACGTACAAAGTTCAAGAGATGCGTTATTATTCAAAGTCACAATTTTAAAATACGTTCAGGTTTTTAATTGATAGGCGATCCTTTTCAGAAAAGCCTGGCAAAAAGCCTTAGGTGTTGAAGGATAGCTCATCATGAAAATACAGAGGTGAGTGGTTGTACAAGTGTATTTAGATTTTCCATCTCACTGGGTTAGACAAGCACAAGGACTGCACAAGTTTAGTTGCTTTTCTGTTTTTCTAACCTAGACAATTTGTTTTATTTTTGAATATTTTTATTATCTTTAAGTAGTTGTACAAAGAAGTTGGCATTCACCAAAGCAGTTTACAAATCTAGTACATCTTGAGCAAAGTCGCCTCTTTCCACATTCTCACTCACCTTTGCCAAACCCACGCCTGCCCTCACTTTTCTTAGTTTTAGGGTGTGTATTGAATGTTGTGTTGGTGTGCCTTGATCTGGGTCATGAATTCAACATTTTCATCCCCCTTCAACCTACACTTTCCCTTTTATTTCTCAATTCTGTGGTATATACTAATTAATTCTTACATGTTTTCAAGTTCTCCATGTCGCAAACTGTGAGCATACTATCTGACTTTCACCAAATTTAGGTAATCTCAGTACATGGCTCTCTATTTTGAGATTTAGGAAATTTAATTTTTTGTGGGGGGATCTCTGGGAAGGAGCATGTCTATTCTACTTAGTCATTTTCTTTCACATTCTTGAAAAAAGGCAATGTTTCTTTGTCTGCACAAGAGTTTGAAAAGTCTGTTCTTCTCTAGAAATGAGAAGCATGTTATTTTTGCTTTTTGTCTCTACAAACTCTACACGGACTGATTAGTCTCAAGTGTCTGCTAAAGGTTGCCTGATCTCTTATGGGTTGGGGAGAAGATTGGTAAAGATAAATTTGAGGTAGATTAAGTTGCAGATATTTCCAAATGTCATGCGTATTGACCCTTTATGCACACAACAAATTTTCAAAAGAATTATTCCAATGACTATTAAATGGGTTTACCTCAAATAGTTGGACAACTTAAAAATTATTTCTTTGATCTCCAGGTTAAGATGATTTTAATTGTTCTGTCATAGTTCCCAACACTTGATACCCTTTTCACTTTTTTTTTTATGTCAGTTATAGGGCTTGAACTCTGGGCCTGGGCGCTGTCCCTCAGCTCTTCAGCTTAAGGCGAGAGCTCTACTTCTTGAGCCATAGCATCACTTCCCCTTCACTTTTTGTCAATAATTCTGAACAATTTCTGGTACCCTAGGGTGTGTGTGTGTGTGTGTGTGTGTGTGTGTGTGTGTGTGTGTGTGCATGCGCATGTACAGACACAGATATTAGGGCTTAAACTCAAGGCCTGGGCTTACCAAGGTGGCACTCTACCAGCTGAGCCAAAGCTCCACTTCCAGCTTTTTAGTGGTTAATTGGAAATATCATTCTCATGGATTTTCCTGCCTGGGCTGCCTTTGAACTGTAATCCTCAGATCTCAACCTTTGAGTAGCAAGGTTCATAGTTGTTAATTACCAATGCATGGAAATTTCCTGGGTTTTGACACATATTGTGACATTTCAATCCTTATGTGTTTTCACCATGTTGCAAAAATTATATATCCCAGGCAATATGGAAATTGTAGAAATGTTGTAATATTAAACTCATATTATCCATAATATCATAAACATGAAATAACAACTCTGTATTTTGACATTTATATGTCTATTTTCCTTTTACATAGATCTTTTATAAATAACTGAGATCATGCACTAGGGACAATGAAAGTTATATGGTGTTACTACAATACTTGTTTGTTTCTCTCCAGATTTATAATTTATGAAGAAAAAAAAAAAAAGAAGCTAAACGCAAGCCCAAAGACCCATGACTACTTAGACTCACTCTTGTCTGATGAGAGAAAATACTAATTTGACCAGTAGAAAAGAAAAAAAGAAATTCTCTGGGGCTTATGGGTCATGTTCATTTAGCAACTGAAAATGTTTAAACATTAAAAAAACAAAGGAAGACTAAGTACCATATTAAGTGTTAAACTTTTACTCTAAGTACACAGGATTGTTTGAAATACAAAAAACAAATCACTACTGAAAAATCACAACTTTTTATAGTAGGGTTAATGCATGTACACAGAAAAGTCACTTCTAATGATTATTCTGTTATAACATTACTTTATATTAAGTTAAAACATCCTGCTTTGACTTTGATAGCTTAAAGGAATTATTCTCCAATAAACTTAATAGGTCTTTGTTGGTTTTCATTTGGGGCCCTCCAGCAGAAGGAGCACTGGAGGTCAAGGGCAAATTATTCAGAAAACTGCTATCATCCTCGGTGAGGGAGGTCTGGTGGAAAACAGGATGGAAACTATTGCATGGAAACCGATTTGATTTTATTTGTGGCTTTTCTTCCACCAGGCTATTTCTTGTGCTCATTTCCAAAACCAATTAAAAATTGAGTACTCTGTGTTCACTTCAAACAAGTATAGCTAGCTGAGGGGCAGCCTTACAAGCTCTGCGTGAAATATATTTCAATTAAAACCCTTAGCAATGAAATATGGAAATATCTAATCTGCGGTTCATTTCTTAGCAACTTGGACCATGTTGCATGATGGGAAAATACTTCTCAAATCTTATTTATATGTTGAAGGGATTAAGCTGAAATATCAACAGATGTAGTTTCTATCAGATTCTCAACCCAAGGGTTCTGAGGCAGTTTTTGAGAAATATTTCCAATTTGTTTGCTGTAGCCAGGACTTTCCCATTTGTTTTAAATAGACGCCCCCCCACACATATATCCTCTCTTTGTCACTCTTGTTTTTTTCCCCTCACAGTGGCAAAAACAGAATGTTTGAAGTCATTGGTGAGACTCTAGAGAATGACTTCCCAAGCTGGATGGCAAAAATTTTGAGACAGCTTTCCAACCCTGGACTAGTCATCGCTATCATTCTGGTGATGGTGTATGTATCTCCTCTTCTCCTAGAAAGACTCTTCTGGGCTCCTTTTACCTTTCAACCTTCTCATCTCTGTCTCTCTCTTCTTTTCTCTCTCTCCTACTGTGTCTTTCTAGCTCTTTTTCTTCCTCACAGTCTCTCTCTCTTTCACTGTCTCTGTCTGTCTCTCTGTCTCTGTCTGTCTGCCTATATTACTGACTGTTGTCTGTCTGTCTGTATGTCTGTCTGTCTGCCTGCCTGCCTGCCTGCCTGCCTGCCTGCAAGGGGTATACTATAAGATCACCAAATTCAGCACTGATTACATGGTGGTGGGAGCTAAAATTCCTGAGCTGTGTGCTGATGCTATTGGATGTAATTCCCAGCCATCTGCATCTGTCTTTGCTTTCCCAGGATTATAAGATTTGTTCCCAAGTAACCAAAATAATTTTCTGTAAACAACTAAAGCAAGGGAACCATAAATGCTAAAAGCTAAATCTAATCGGCACATTGAGCTTTCCCCTGACAGCATGTCTCCCACCTCTTGTCCATAAAGCAGATGGCTGTGAATATACAGAAATAATGAGTCTCTAAGTTAATGTTCCCCTCAGGGGCCTTAAGGGTTATATTTTAGGCCGAAAGGCCTAAAGGTTCTTGAAAATAGTTCCACTGTTGTTCTTAGAGACCTGTCAATAGCTATGTGACCATGATAATGAAATCAGAGCGCTAGAGGGTGTGGGGATTCAAAGTGAGAAGTGATTTCCAAAGAGGAACATCGCAGGCTTTGTTTCCCTACAGCTTTCATTCATTCTCACTCTTGATCACAATAGCTAAACTTACATAAAAGCCTATTTCTTTCAATCCCCCCTCCCATCCCCTATCCCATCTCAAATGAGAATTCTGACGTTGCCGTTGCTTCCCGTGAAGGCAGGCAATTAGGAAGCCTCTTCCAGGACACGACATCTCAGGAACAAAGTTGATGCACAAAGCTGGGCTCGTTTACGGAAAAGCAACACAATGAGAGGCGAGGAAGGAAACTTTCAGTGGTGTGAAGTACAGGAACGAGGATCCAACATCCTCTGAAGATCATGAGGAGAGGAGCCTTTTCCTTCAGTTTTATACATCAAGCAACTGACATACAAGAATGAAGTTGTTTTTCTTAAGCAATGAAAATAATGCTATAGTAACGTGGGAATCAAAACAGACCCTTTTGCCAGGTGCTGGTAATCCTAGCTACTCAAGAGGCTGCGATCTGAGGATCATGGTTCAAAGCCAGCCCAGGCTAGAAAGTCCCTGAGACTCATCTCCAAATAGCAACCAGAAAGATGGAAGTGGTGCTGTGGCTCAAATTGGTAGAGTGCTAGCCTTGAAGAAAAAGATCCTCATGGACAGCATCCAAACCTTAGTTCAAGCCTCACAATTGACAAAAAGAGAAGGAAAGGAAAAGGAAGGGAAGGGAAGGGAAGGGAAGGGAAAGGAAAAGAAAAAGGAAAGGAAAGGAGAAAAGAAAGGAAAGGAAAGGAAAAGAAAGGAAGGGAAAGGAAAGGAAAGGGAAAAGAAAACCCTTTCTGGGTGAATCCAATGCTCACTCTTTACATTACAACACCTTCTATGCAGAGCTAATAACTATAAGACTAATTGAACAGTAAAATGGATTACTATTGTTCATTGCCAAACCTTGATGACAAGATATTATTAAGAATCTAGTAGTAAGTCTCTGGTGCAGATGTGTTGCAGAATGATGTGCTGAATATGGCATGCTTACCAGATGTTCCTTGAAGGGAAAATCTTGCTCCCCATTTCACCACACAATAGCTTATAAGAGCATATTAATAGCTGTCCTTTGACATTTGGCCGTCCAAGCCTTTCAGTAGTATAAATGAAATTGAGTTTAAACATGCAATACAAAAATCAAATTTGTTATAATATGATTAATTTGCTGAAAGCAATTTTTTTCTTAAACCAAGGAGCAACATTGTTCAAAGGTCACTCTCTATGGCTGGTGTAAATTTCCGCAAAAACCTGAAGAGGTTGGCTTTATTAATCAAATTATAAATAGCCCATGGAAAATTTGCCCCAAATGAAGCAGCTAATAGGTGGAAATGAGACATGGCTCTTTTCACTCTTGTTTCTTATTCTTCTACTCATTTGCACCTCCAGTCAGTGTTTAGAGCAGTTACTAGGCATACTTTAGACCCACGGCATGCATTTCTTTTTTTTTTATTGTGAAAATACTGTAAAGAGGGGTTACAATTACATGGGCAAGATAATGAGTACATTTCTTATCAAGCATTGTAGCCTCCTCCTTTGTTTCCCCTTCCCATCCCTTCCCACCCTCCTCCCGCCCCCCCCCCCCCCCCCGGCATAAATTTCTTAAAGGGTCAAAATAGTATGTATTTTAGACCAACAGGTGAAAATGAGGATATTATATATGAAAACTTAGGTAAATATTTAAATAAGTAAAAAATATTCTTAGGACATGAGACATAGAAAACAGTCTGGGTAAGTCCCTGGGTGACTCAGCCTTTAGCACTGTAACAAACAAGAGGGAGAAAGAGGGGCTGGGAAGGTGGCTCAGTGGTAGAGCGCTTGCCTTGTATGCATGAGACCCTGGGTTCAATTCCTCAGCACCACATAAGCAGAAAAAGCTGTAGGTGCTATGACTCAAGTGGTAGAGTGCTAGCCTTGAGCTGAAGAGCTGAGGGACAGTGCCCAGGCCCAGAGTGAAGAGAGAGAAAGAGAGAGAGAGAGAGAGAAGTGGAAAAAGAAAAAAAGGAAAGAGAACACAAAAAGTTAATAGTCTGAGATCTAGATTTGGCATCAAGGCCATAGTTTTCCAATCCTTGATAGAGACAGCCAGAAGAAAGAGGACAGCATCCCTAGTTAAATCGCTGTCTACAAAGGTTGACTTTAGCCTTGAGCTTCTAATTTAAAAGCAAAAATTCAGTTTATTACTGATTTGATTCTATTCAAATCTGGAGGTCTCCTGGGTCTCCTAGAGTTGGCTAGAATTTCTACGACCTTTAATTAGAAAAGGTTACAAACAGGTGGAGTGTTGTTCTCAGCTCTTCAGCTCAAGGCATGAGCTCTACTGCTTGAGCTACAGCACCACTTCTGGTTTTCTGAGTGGTTTTATTGGAGATAAGTGTCTCACAGACTTTCCTGACTGGGCTGGCTTTGAACCGTGATCCTCAGATCTCAGCTTCCTGAGTAGCTAGGATTATAGGCTAACAGGGTAAGTTTTACCAGTGGACTATATTGATCCTGCTTGGACATTTTTCAGGTATCTGAGTGGAATTCAGGTCAGGTTTCTGTAGTCAGTGTTGTTCTTTGGAGAAGGAAAGTGGTTTTTGAGGAATATTCATTTAAGATGCATTATAAAACAGAAAAAGGTTAAGGATAGATAGAAAATTCAGAAATAAAAGAGACCATCACTCTAAATATCCAGGGACTTTTCTTTATAAATCTTTCTCTCTTTCTTTCTGTCTCTCACTTTCTCTCCCTCCCTCCTTCCCTCTCTCCCTCCTTCCCTCTCTATTCTATCTCTCTTTCACACACACACACATATGCACATTTATTGAGCACTTATTCATGCTAGACATTACCCCTGATGCTTTCATGTATGGAATTTCAGTTAGTCATATAAGAGATACACAAACCCAGTTAGACCATATTAGTAAATTTGCAACTTGCACCAGATGGCTCATAAAGGATATTATCCAGCATGTTAGTAAGTAGCAGAAATGTGTTCAAGATACAGTTACTTGCAACAAAGAACAAAGTCAGTTACCTTCTTCAAATGTTAACTGCATTTTGTTCATGTTGCCTCAAGAGAAAAGGAACATATTTACTTTTTGCAGAATTGCTGGGCTGGCATTTACTCTTTCCAAAAATGTAAATGTCATTGACAAATCCAAAAATATACCTTTATAAAACATCTTTGGGGGAGGGAAAGGGGGAGGAGATATGAAAACAATGCAGTCTATAGAAAAAAAAAACAAGGCTCCGCTTATGAAGATTGCAGTTTTAGTTGTCAAGACTAAAGGAGGGAATTTCAGGCAGAAAGTCGTCCCCATTTTGATTCAACATATTTTTCCAAGCTTCAGTAGACTTTCTGTTTCCTTGGATATCACTGTCATCAATTTAAAACATTGCTTCTCATTATAATTTACCCTGATGTAAATAGACTTCCCAGAGAAAGCTGATAATAAGGGTCAGGGTGGAATAGTAGACAGAAGCGTGGATTTAGGAGTCTTTGGACCAACTCTAAACCTTCATCCTACCCTCTGTAATTGTGCATGTGCCTCTATATCTCCTTAGACCTCGTTTTTTTATCTACAAAATTAGATTTGGAGTAGGAAATACCTTAGTGTCCACTCCCATGATAAGGACTATGATGTAAGTGGAAATTGTAGACACCACCCTCATTTTTATTTTGTTTTTCATGTAGCTTGGCCATCTATTATCTCAATGCAACTGCCAAGGGCCAAAAGGCAGCAAATCTGGACCTGAAGAAGAAAATGAAACTGGTAGGATACGGTGGTTGGGTTAAAATCACTGTCTTTGTTGCGGTTACACAGTTGAAAAGACCGGGAAAGCTGATTTGGTTGTGTTCTTTCTTACCATGTAGCAAGCTTTGGAGAACAAGATGCGAAACAAGAAGATGGCAGCCGCGCGAGCAGGTTGGAGCTGATGGCATTGTCAGTGCTGATTTTCCTACTAACAAGTGATGCTTCCTTTTGCTTTATTCTTCACATCAGGCATTTGACAGCAAGGGGCCTTATTGTTTCTCATCAGTCATTTCACAATCCTCACTGTCTATGTCTGAATCCATCACAAAGCATCACATTCATGGAGTTGCTTTCCTTTCCATGGTAGGAGAGAAAGGATGGGAAAGAGAGAGAAGGAGAGGGGAAGGAAAGAAGAGAACAGGGAAGGGAATATTGAATAATGCAAATTTAATAGTGCTTAAGAAAAATGGACCTTAAAAACTGACCAAAAATGGTAAAAAAAAAAACTTCCTCTAATTTATACAAATAGCAAATGTGATTAGTGCTCATTTGGACTATTTTTATACATGGAAAGAAATTTTGGGACATTCTCTGAAGGATCCTCCCCTGCTTCATCCTAATTGGTGGTAAAAAGCATTTCTAACCTGCTAGCCTTTCTTTATTCAACCTCTGTCATTTTTAAATATAGTTAGCCCTGCAGCTGCAGTATTTGCATCTGAAGATCTGATGAACTGCCTTTTGAAATGTTTGGGTCATTGTGCCATCATTATTGCCTAAATGTTACAGTGGTACAGCTTAGCTTTGTCTATCTTTGAGTGGGGGAAAGAGTCTTGGACAAGTCTCCTGCAGAGATCAGGAGGGATTGTCTATATTCAAATTAGTAGATTCCTATTTGCAAAAGCTAATCATATGCCTTGAGCCCTATGTGACAGAGACAATTAAGCAAATTAGTCTTTTACAACTTAGCCTCCATTCCTAACCTTATACCTTTTTATATTAGTAGAACTTTCTCCCACGTAAGTAATTTGAAAAAATCAAATGGGTTTAATTTTAAAAAGATGAACTTCTTACAGAAATGAACAAGAAGAAGGAATAGAGAGATGTGGCTCACGGGGTAGAGCACCAGCTGAACAAGCAAGTCCAGTGTGCACAAAATGCTGAGTCTAGATGAAACAAACACACCAAACCAAAACAACAAAATAACAATAAACCCCAAACAAAAACAAAAAGAAAACAAAAATAATTAGCAAACAATAACAAAGAGGGAGTAGTAGTATGTATGAATTCAGTCCACTTCTAATTTTATGCTTAGAATATGCTCAGTTCTGAGCTTATTTCTCTGTGAATTGATAAAGACCAGCACAGTTCCATATGTCCTGATTAGCAGTATCTAGCTCCTTCGGGGATAAGAGATTAGAAGCATGCATCTCACAATACTGTTTTAGAATATTGCCTTATCAAATTAGTGCCTGGGGTAGTGAGTGGAAAATTCTGACTTCTCAAACTCAAATTCTGCTCAAGACTCATCATACTCTTTATTGTTAAAAAATGATAGCATCATGCTGTAGGATGCTATTTATAAATCTGATGTTTTGCCATGAGGTGCTGTCACTCTGTGAATGTCTACCATATTATGTGAACAATGAGGGAATCTTAACTTAAAAATCTGGAAAGAATAGATTTCTAGATCCATTATCTATATGGTAATTATGGTAACCAATAGGTACAGCCTTCATTCTTGTTTCTTTAGAATTTGAGAAGACTTAGTAAAACAAGAAATATAGAAATATTCTTCTTAGTACAAAATGATAACTATTGTTGCAGAATGGAGCACCTCTGGGATAATACAGGATACCACTAGCACATTAAAGGCTAAAGTTTTGTTTGACTCTTCTTCAATTCTCATCCTTTTCTCCTCCCCCACCCTCTTTTTAAACAGCTGCAGCTGCTGGTGGGCAGTAATCTTCACAGATACTGGAGGGTGCAGAAGTCTTCCTTACCTTCCTGCTTAAGTGAATGCACGGTATAAAGACCTAAAGAACAAATGTTGGAGGGTTACAGCTGCTCCATTCTGATGCTCAGGGCTTATCAAGCACACAGGGTCCAACACGGAATCACCCATCTTTCTCCAGCTAGGATCCTCATCTTCTTCCCATTTAAGGATTTGTCAGAGAAGCAACCATCTTCTCCCCTGGATGTTTCTGAACCTTTTATCCAAGCAAACTGAGTTTAATAGTAAGTGTGATCCAATAAGTGTAGGTTACCGGGTATATTTGGTAATTGAACTTTCAACTTACATATTGGTTCTGCCATTGTTTTCTTGAATTATGAGAACAAATATGTGACCTTCTGCTCTCCTCTAACTTAAGTAATAATTGCCATCATGTATAAACTTGCTTTTGGAACCAATTCCTTTTCCTTTTATTTAAACTGTCTCCCCAATGTGATTCCCCGCAAATACTCACAACCTTTTGACAGGTTGTTGAATTGAGTATGGAAAGCAATAGACATTTTAGATAAGAAAATCCTGTTTTAGTTAGGATTTTTTGATCAACCCAGGGTCCAAAAACATCTCTTACTTTGAGGAGACACATGATCTTAAATGATCTTACTTTGAGGAGACACATGATCTTAAATGATCTTACTTTGAGGAGACACATGATCTTAAATGATCCAACCAGTTCATAAGTTTAAAAAGAATAAAGAAATAAAAATTAATAAGGCACTAGACGTGACTGCTGTCACCTCGTGGTCTGCTCAGTTGGCCTCCAGTTAGCATATTCTGTGGTTTTCAGTTCCAGTAATCTATCATTGTTCTTGCCTTCTTTGTTAAGGGAGGTTTAATGGATGGATTTGTTTAGTGTATCGATGTGTTTAAGCATGATTAATTTTGTACCATTGGAGTTGACTTTGGTGAGTAGTGCTCCATGCCCTCCTATTCCTCTGCTGTGGCCTCCGCTGCATCTCCTATATTTACAGTATCCCTCTCCAGAGCTTAGCCAATTTGCCTGCCATTCCCTGCAGTTGACTTTCTGGTTCTGGTTATCATTTGAATTTCTTCTTCTCCTCATTCTTCTACTGAGAAAAAGAATGGTCACTGGTTCCTTTGTCAATGAAGACTTCCTTTCTTTACTTACCTTGTTCAGATTTTCTTCCGTTTCCAACTGTATCATGCCCTCCATAAGCTTCTTTGGATTCTTTGGCCTCCAGTTTCTTATTTTGATTAATTTCCATATGATTTGACATGGGCCTTTATTGTTTCTTGTATGTTCGAGTCATGTTTGCTATCCAGTTTGTAAGCTCTTTATGAGCAGGGATCCTATCTTTGTGCTCTTTTATATGCCTAGAATAGTGCTGTGCACTGATAGGCACTGGAGAAATGCTTGTGGATTCAATTGAATCAATTTAACTTAAGGCAGTTGTATTGTGAAACAGAACTTCTGTGATTTGCATAAGAAATGTTGCTATGATGTAAGGAATTGATTAACGATCAATGGGCTTGATTTATTGTTTGTAGGTTATAAGGCACATGACTAAATAAAGCAAATATTAATTTATACTTGGACCATCCTTGCATTGTGTGGTAATAAGTTCAGATAATTTATTTATTATGTTGTCAAATACAGGAGGTATTTTTGATCTATTTCATAAGGATGATGAGATAAGACATGTATTTCTAAAAGTGTTCATCTCCTACACTTTTGGCTCTCTGGTTGTTAATTGGAGATAAGAGTCTCACAGACTTTCCTGCCCAGGCTGGTTTCAAACCAGATCACAGCCTCCTGAGAAGCTAGGATTACAGGCATGAGCCCAGCATGGTGAACTTTTAGAACAAATGTTAATGTTATAAATGTTCAGACAGTATATACCAGCTATCAATGTCTCTATAAGTAAATGCACAATTTGGAATTTGATAGCAGCTAAATATTTCCTTGATTTATGCTTAATCTTTTTTAGAAATGTTGAACTTTTCAGTCTCCAGAGAGATGCTGCAAACATTTTTTTCAAACATTTCTGTATTACTACAGAGACAAAGGTCTTAAACAGTGATTGTTGCATCCAAAGCTATTTTGAATAGGCTTCTACTAGGAAGATTGGATTGCTATGATTTATTTCTATATTGTTTTTCACATGCATATCAATTAAATTTGTGAGGAAAAATTGGAAGGCAAAGAAATGAATCTAGACCAAGGATTTTAATCTTTGTGAGAGGAATTAAGAAGTCTCACAAGCTGGGTGCTGGTGGCTCATACCTGCAATTCTAGCTACTCGGGAGGCTGAGGTGTGAGGATCATGGTTCAAAGCCAGCCTGGGCAAGAAAAGCTGTGAAACTCTTATCTCCAATAAACGACTCAGAAAACTGGAAGTGGTGCTGTGGCTCAAGTGGTAGAGTGCTAGCCTTGAGCTGAAGAGCTCAGGAACAGCACTCAGGGCCAGAGTTCAAGCCTCATGACCAACAAAAGTCTCTTAGAAAGGGTTGCTTTGACTACTTTTCTTTGGATGGCCCTGCTGCTTTTCCATGATTAGATTTGATGACTCAATGTTTATGAGTAAAGGAAACAAATCTATCCATTTCACCTCATCTTGGATATTAGATATTATATGACAAACATTTTCTTCATTCATACCATAAAATTCTCATATAAATCCTTTTGATTATTTAAAAATACATTGTAGTGGCTAATTAATGCTAACAAACATCAATTTTAATAGAAGAAATGGATAGGAAAAACATTCAGAGTGACTTCTGATAATACTTTGATATCTTTTTTTCAGACTCACAATCATTTATACACAGATTTCATAAATAGATTCAATCCCATGGTGCATCTAGTTTTATAGATTTTTTTCATTTAGTATATTATAATCTAATATAAATGACTTTGGGGACATTTTTAATGAACACAAAATGTTCCTTAATATTATTATAGCTTGGTTAGTATATTCTGTAGTTATTCATGTAGGCTAATTTATTTAAAGATTAAATATTAATTTCCAAGCCCTATACACCTAAAAAAGACAAAACAAGATATTGTGACATGCATTTCCAGTTTCATTTTTCTTAAATATGTTGTTCATGTGGTTATCAATCATGTTTTTACTATTGTTAATGTCTTGGCAGGTTGAAAATAAACTATAAATGATTCATATAGGCATCTGCTTCTAAGGAACAAAAACCCTAGCTTTTGTTCCTATTTTTTGAATTATCTGATTCTTACACACATTTTAGAATTTAAAATTGGATCAGGAACACTATGAAAAATAAATTTCAGAAACCTGTGTGTGTATGTGGGGAAATCAAGTGGTACCGTGTTCCTGGTGGTATCCAGGAAGACCTTTTTGGAAGAGTCTTAGCCTCACATTCAAGATCAAGCTGACTGGTAAGTAAGTTCCAACAGTGTGCCTACAGCCGTGCAAAGTCAAGGAATACCTGCTCGATTCTGAGCGGTCTGGCTTTGCCTTCTTCCTTAGCAATAGCAGGGGCCCATCCATGACTCCCATTTTCCTTTCTAATTGAACTGAAGACAACATGAATGGATTTTATAAGGCAACCATTCTTTCAACAAGTCGGGTTGCACTACCTCTAGACTGAGAAGATTTTGCAGTGTCAGACATGGTATTAGGTTCTGGAGCCTATTTTTCTTTATATAACCATGATATAAAATGAAATAAATAAATGCACGAGGAAAAATCCCAGAATCTACTACTGATAAGGACATCATGAGAAAGTAAAATAAAGTCAAGATGATAGTTTCAGGAAGAGCTGCTCTACCAGGTGATAGGCAAGCTTGTCTGACAGGAATACACCGAGATTGAGATACACTGAGGCCACATGGTTGACCAGAGTCTACTTCTGTAGTGTTTGTAAAGCCCCAAGCGGTGTGGGAACGACATTATCAAAGACTGAATGATCACAACCTAGGTAGTCGTGATACTTAACACTGCTTTTTGTTTTTGTCTTTTAATTTAATTTAATTTATTTATTTATTGTACTTTTTTAATTGTAAAAATGCTGTACAGAGGGGTTACAGTTACATGAGCAAGGTAATGAGTACATTTCCTATCGAACATTATTGTTTTTTGTTTTCCCCGACCATTCCTTCCCTCCCACCTCCACAACTACACCCCCTTGCCTCCTTGAACTTGTAAAGTTTGTTTTCAACACAGTGCATTGTTACAATGGGCCAGCCTGTATCCTTATTTAAGCATTTTGTTTATTCCCTTCCCCTCCCCGAATTAGAGAAGTTGTATATACAAGATGCAGGGCACCTACATCAAATATAGTGAAAACATTTTGTTGGTCATGGGGCTTGAACTCTGGGCTTGGGCACTGTCTCTCAGCTCTTCAGCTCAAGGCTAGTGCTCTACCACTTGAGACACAGCTCCACTTCTGGTTTTCTGGTGGTTTATTGGAGATAAGAGTCTCAAGGACTTTCCTGCCTGGGCTGGCTTTGAACCTCGATCCTCAGATCTCAATTTCCTGAGAAGCTAGGATTATAGGTATGAGCCAGGGAACACCTGGCTTAATTTTAATTTTTATTGTAAAGGGCTATGTTTATATACAGAGGGGTTATGGTTTATATACAGGGCTATGGTTTGTATACAGATATACAGAGGATTTATAGTTATATGAGTCAGGTATTGAGTGCATTTCTTTTTGAACAGTGTCATCCCTCTTTTTTTCCCACACTATGCTTTTTGCACAGAAATAAACATCATTTTAAATTGATGCAGGAACTAGCGGTGCCAAGGATGTAAAGGAACACATTATACACTGTTAGTGTGTGTACAAAATGTTTTATTTTACACAGCTTTTGCTATTTCTAACTTGGAATGGATCTGCAATAGATACCAACCATTATATTTAGTTCTGCTAATTATTGTGGACCTAATGCTCCCAGATCTTCTGAGTTTGAAAAAGAATGCAGAAACCTGGATTGTTGTAATATATATTACTACAG